CAACAGTAAGCTATTTGATTCAAACCTCTCGAGTTGAATGCTGAAAGGTTCATGTTCAATTGATGGTTGTGTTGTAGGAGCGCATCGCTATGCAACGTTTTCATGGAACAAAACAGCTTCACACTGTTTTGCTGTTCCATGATGTTGAAAATCGACATCAACAATTTGCACTATAAACAAAAGATCTTACGAAAAATTCTTTTTATAAGTTAATGTGGAAAAATCCGGTCAATCTCCATTTTCACTGAACACTTATCATTATCTCACCGACAAGATTCCGTAAACACAATTCAAGTTTCACCCAGGACCTACCAATCTCATGGGCGAACGCTTAACTACTAGACGCCTGAGCTTTTTAGCATCCAACACAGTGAATATCTAACTCCAACCAATCGACGAGAACGAGCGGCATGTCCACCATTGTCTTCAATGAGTTACCATATCACAACAGACCCGGTTGAACTTCACTGGTCACTGCTTCTCATTAGATCTCCAAGAAATACCACTTGAGGCCAGTCATCAGTGAGCATATTTTGATTCATATCAGAAGGGATTTCGTGGATATTGTAAGAATTTCAATGGTTGATCTCGTGTATGAGCACTACTGAGGGGTACCAGTAAATCAGTACAATCAGCAAGACATTGCTATTTTCGATGGATGAAACATACTACTTACATCTGTCGACATCGGTAGAACACACCGCAACATGACTCATTTATTATTTTAATCAAAAATCACAAACTAAGTGCAAAAATGTAAGTTTTCTTCGTGAACTTTTCGTTTACATTATTGTTTCAAACCATTTCAATTACTGTGACATAAAATAAACTCAAACCAAACATCACAAAGATATCTTTGTAATACCGAAATAATCTGATTCAAATTATAAGAATAACACAAAATGAATAACGGATTATACATTAATACAGTTGTATGCCATCCGGTTCAGACGTCTAGAGGCTAAGCACTCGTGCATGAAACCTGTATGTTTTTGATTTGATGCTCACGAGTGAGATTGTGGATTCGCGCTGCTGAAGAGTCCTATAGTGAGAGAAAATCATCGTCCAATGCATTAAATTTTTTAAATGTCATGTAAAAATAGCACCTAGTTAGTGGTCTATAGATATTGTTAGATTATTCAACATTTACTTTAAACAATGCTAATTCGTTTGAATGAAAAAAGGTTCATAATCATCGCAGAATGGTTTGACTATCAGAGTAGAGTCTTGTGGAGATTGTATTAATTTTGATGGTTGAATTCATGAGTCAATGTAAGCTAGACCACCACTGAACGCCTAGAAGCATTAAACGGTTGATTCGTTCTAGCATTGAACCGCTCATTAGTGCACATTCCCGATCTCTTCCCATTGTTATTTAGCACTGTAATTGTGGTTCTTGTGTGGACTGCCGCAATATTGCATTATGTCACATACGTTTTAAACAAAGATGGATAGTGTCAAGCAGAGGGATCAACGACAAGCGTTTTGTCTTATTTGGGACCCGTCAGCTGGATATACTTACATCTCAGTGTTGATGTCCAACCTGGAACTCGAACCTACTACTCGGTTTATAAACAAACTAAACAGACCACATCAAACCACATGATAGGAAAACGACGTTTTTACAGGATCCAACCAAAAGTGACTATGGAATGTGGGACGGAGTAATTCATAATCGACAGGGCATAACTCAAGAATGGTTAATCGTATAATAATAATAAAAATCTATAGGTCAGAATAAAGCTTATAATTAGAGGAACATGAATATGCATAGTTTAGCTACTTTACAAGGATACAATAAGTAATACCTGCATTGTATTAGACCATTATTGAATTCCATTAAATACTAGCCAATTTTCTCAATAATTCAATTCACAGAAAAAAATCGAATAATTGGAGGATTCGACTTATTCAAAACTAAGCAATTTAAAGAAGAACAAAGAAAAAGAGAGAAAAATAGAAGGAGAAAGGTTAAGAGATGCAATTCCATGGTAGCCGGTGATCAACAATCTGTTTATGCGCTATTTGTTTCATCAGGATACTGGAGCCTGTGTAAGTTATTGATTTGGAACCATGGTTTCCCAACCCAACTCAGTAGATCCTCTGTATCCACCAAACTGGTTAAAGTACCGGACATTCGATTTTCATCCTCTCAATTTTGTAAACAACAGTAATCCTTCGAGGAAGCAGTCAGTCGAATTTCTCTGGCAGTGGCTGTATACGCATGGCCATGTGAGAGCATTTGTAGAAGGAGAGCTAACGCTCGCTTTTCCCCTTCTTAATTTCGTAAACAACAGTAATGTTGCGAAAATGTAATGAGTAAGACTTCACTGTCAGTGGTTGTACGCACGTCGTCATATGAGAGTATTTCGAGTGGCACAGCGGACTCTACTCACTCTCGACCTTATCAAGTAATTTGGGAGCAAAAACAATTAGCGTTCATAGATTTTCGCCTATACCGTTATTTGGAAAACAGTGAGCTGTTTCGATTCTCTACTGTCTTTCTGAAGTCATTTCATTAATGGATTTTCTTTATTTGTATTTTCTTTACGAACTAGCTTACTACTCTATATAGATGTATTTAGACTACTTATTACAATGTTATAAGTAGTTGAATTATCCTGTTGTAGTTTTCTTTTTCAAAACTTCAACGTAATTTTTAATGGAAACTGAGTTAACAGATCCTTTGTTTGTGTTCTCAAATATTGTTATGCGCATTTTATATTTGCAGGAGTTTTACACTATAGAACAGGTTCCTTCAATCAGACAATCCATGTAATGAACGAATGGATCACTAAGCAATAGGATAAACAGAAAATGCAATCACTTTGCAAGCAAAGATGGATAGTGGCTAGCAGTGGAATCCAGGACGTGCGTTTCGTTTAGTTCTTATCGGTTATCTAATAATTTCTACAGATCAAAGTTCTTTCAAAGTTGTCTCTATGAAACGTTTTAGCTTGATATCCAAAGGTATGAGGCTAGAAAGCTTTTCTATACTGTATGGATACTGAACTATTTAAATGAAGACTTTAAAGTGTTAGGTAAATTTTCAACTTTATCTATTATCAGATAAAACGAGAAAAGTGCAACCTCTTTTAAATACACACGTTTCAAAATGCAAATTATCTGAATGTGAGGTTGTGGGGATTAGCGACTTTCTTCGTGTTAGTTTTCTACGAAATGAGGTCGCTAACTTCTCCATTACCATAAAAATGTGATTATTGATCAATAGGAGAAATAGACACAACAACTTATATGTAAATATCCAATTTTGTGTTATGATGACTGGACTATTCCTTGAATTCTTCTGAAACCAGAAAAGTGCTTTGAAAATTACTTTGATAAGCAACGTGTTAGGTATTCGGAAATATAGACCAATAATTATCATGTTAAGTCCAATGATGTCCTTGGACCTTAAATGTACATTTCCTATTGGTCGATGTTTACTTCACTTGTTAAATATTTTGTAAATGTTGTTCTCTATTTTATGGTACGATGTGGTATGAGTGGTGGTCGGTATTCGATATATCCCTTAAACTTCGTATACAATTCGTCTTGACAACCGTCCGATTTAACCACAACGGTATATTATTCAGAAGGCGAATACGAAGCGTTGATTACGTTTATTTCGAGACCACACACACAGATGTCCAAAATTTACAGATGCATTAAACGAGCATTAAGAGTTGTGTCGAACGGCAAACAGGCAAGCGAGCGACTGAGCGAATGTAAGTAATCGAGTACAATCAAGCGAGCGAGAAAGCAGAGTCAACCATATGAATAACATGGACATATATATAGCATGTGAAATTAATGGGTAATCGAATCAAATAAGCGGTTATTAGTGAGACTAGCAGAGTAAACAAATGCGTAGGCCGTAAGCAATATTCAAGCATGCGTATTTCATACAAGCACAAAATAATAATAAGGGTACAATAAATTGTTATAGTGCGGATGACTTTGTCCGCTAAATAAGTTAGCAAAAGGGCTTAACTGAGTTAAATGAGAATAAACCCATTTGCACGTGAGTCGCTATATATGCTTGATTGGTATATAAACAAAGTATGTTTGAAATATAATGATTCATAACTCTGAGGCTGTGACTTGTTTCTTGATTCAACTGGCTAGAACAGACAGCGAAGCAGGGCCAATCAGGGCACTAGGTCGTCCTTACGTGTTTTCCGTGTCACTGTCACAGAAGCGATCGATAAATACGCTGCGTATCAAAAACCTGCAGTCTCACACGTTACATCAAAACCATTTTAATGGTTGAGGTCATGTGTCTATTGAAGCTAGACCAACATGGGAAACCTGAAAGCGCTGGATGGCCTTTTTTTTACTGTGCTACTCCTCTACAATCCACATCCATCTTTTGTTTACAATTGTACAAAAAGACTAGTTGTATGGTGTATGATACTTATGCTGGTTGATATAAGTTTATGTAGCCGCTATTGGAAGTGGAATGTCTGGCAACGTCCATTCGCTCACAGTCACCTACACTTGTAATTACTATTAATAATACTGCCATTATCACACAATATACATGAGTCAATTAACTTATAACAAACTGTATATGTTGAGTGCATGATGATTCAAAAGGTTGTATCAAACTGTATAATAATAATAATCAACAGTAACTCATAATCATTCCACCTTCAACTGAATGATTCAAAATTCCACAATCATACGTTTTCTGATAGACATTAAGTCAATTATATGGACTTTATCTGACTAAATCTGTTCGCATAGGACTGAGAAACACAGATGATGATGATGATGATGATGATGATGATGATGATGATGATGATGATGATGATGATGATGATGATGATGATGATGATGATGATGATGATGAGTTTTTCGACGATGCTTTGGATGGTGAATTGCATGAGGATGATGTTTGTTTTAAACCATCACTGCAGTTCCATACCCTTTTACTTTACATATGAAACCTATTGTTCTATTGAAATTGTTTGTGAGTTTTATTTTATTGATTTTAGATTTCCCTTATTTTCTCGTTTCAATTAATTAATGATCATGCAATTCATCATCATCATCCAATTCGTTATCCAAATAATAATAATAATAATACTAATAATAATAATAATAATCCAAACCATCATCATTGGGGACTAAGTGTAAACCTTTAAACGTTATCCTCTATAAGAAGCATTTCAAAAGTTTATGTGTAGTGAACGAGAACACATGTGTGAATAATCACAGCGTCTAAGTAGTATCTGAGAGCTGTACAGCAATAACTTCATTTGTAAAATATCAATAAATCGTCTCATAATTCACTCTTCTCGTTCTTATTTCTTTCATCTTTTTAACCGTCTTCAACTTGATATTTCACTTTCTATTGATGATACATACTACTTATATCTGTCTATATCAGTAGCACACATGATTCAAGTAATTATATGAATGATGGTACAACTAAATTTGTAAGATTCAGAAAAATGACAGTTCTCCAAAAGAAACTGATATATTTTCACTGAGAGGTAGTGGAATTCCGATTTACATGGAAAACAAGTTGGTTTTAAATAGTAAAGCTAACCTGAATGGAATATTTACCATAAGATTAAAAGGGACCATAAAAAGATACAAATAATGAATTTCTTTAAGAAATTTCAAATTACATGACAATACTACTTATTTCTTCGACAGATTAGTAGGCAATAGGCAATAGGCAATATTCTATTATAATTGAGACTATAATTTATGGATGACATTCGAGTGACCCTAAAATGCACTTTCAGAATATCCACCTAATTACTAAAGCTAAATGAGTATTATTAACCTGTGTGAAGAAATATAGATTATGAATCATTGTTGATGGTTAAAGGTTAAGAATCAGATGCAGGGGGGGTGTATTGCGAATTGTCATAAGCTATAATGGTAAGACGTTATTTAGTCAAATGGATGAATGAAGTTCGTGCCAACATCCAAGACCTGTTATCTTAAATCTGATTGATTCATCCATAAATTATAGTCTTAACTTGGTATCATAATAAACTTCCAAAGTATTCACCAAAGGTATAATTTTATTCAAAACTTGTTGATTGAATACAGTAATAGGTTGGTATAAAGAAGTTTCAAAACAGAGAAGCATATTTTCATTGAAGGATCTCAACAAGTAAAGTCAACCAATTACCAGTGCGTGGTCAACTAGTAGAAAACTCTCGATATCTCGAAATATCTCTTACGGTGATGAACTGGTCAGTTCAGTTCAGTCAGTCAATCAGATACAGCGTAGGACCAAAAGTATATATATGAATCGGTCCAATTCCCCATACATCATTAGTATATCAAGATGAACACCGAATTCATAGAAGTAGTTCATCCAGTGATGGTGGTCTCACACTCAAATGCCTATAACCTATAGACCACTGAGCTGGTCGACATCTAACGGTGTTAATGTCTAAATTTAACTAATCTACTAATCGATGCTATGATTATCATTTTCTTCCATACATTATACATTTATATATATTACTTCCTGACATGTGTTCTTTAGCTTTCCCATCATCCGTTTCGTTTCAAAATTCCAAGGTATTACTTGCTTCGTGATGAATTTTGGCGATTTCTTCATTGTATGTTTTATTCAATCCCAACAGGTTTGTGTAAATTTTTAAAGTTTATTATTGGTTACATCGTCTATTGACTTCAACTGTAGACATAATTAGATAGTGAGGCTCTTCAGCTATACACATCTGTGAACTGAAATCAAGGATATCGCCAACGATACTAGGTTCGAGTCCCATAGTGAACATCAAGTCAGTGATGATGTTACATCCAACTGACAAGTTCAAAATAGAACGAAACACGCGTCAAACTGGATTCCACTACTAGCCACTATCCATCTTTACTTAATTAAGTATTTGGCTTGTTATGATGAATAAATTGTCGTGACTTTGTCTCATTTGAGAAGTGTTACAATTGTCCGGGTGAAAAGAATATAAAATAATACCAAGCGAATAAAAAAAATGTAACACTTCAACTTATCTCAATTTCTCTTTGTTAATCAAACGATGTTTGTCTTATCTTAATTCATAGTCATACAGAATAATTTAGCAGTATCCAATGCTGTGTTTACCCAGTCTTTGGCGTTGATCAAACACGACAAGCACTTAATCAACTAGATATCAAAAGTACTAAGATGAAATATTATGTGGTTGGAAGTAGTCTTTCATAAGTCTAAATGACGTGTGAATAGCCCGGGTACGTGGTTAAAACTGAATGACTTGGTTCGAATCCTCAAAGGAACATCAACACCCTAAACACTGTAGATATATCTTACTTATGAGTGTCAAATAACATGAAAAATAATTGCCTAGTTATCTACTAACTACTTTCAACTACTTCACATTCATATTTCTTTATTATATTTATGGAATCGGAATGAATGATCATCACTATGATTGAATGAGCCACTATTAAAACATTTATTATTGACTGTTAGGTTGTCTTATATTGTTCCTACTCGCTCCCTTTCCACTCCTTTGTATATTGTGTTCTATACTACTTATTTACATTCGGTATGCATTTGTATACGCAACAGTCTTGACACTTATGTTGTAATGCAAGTTGTAGTGTAATATTCTGAAATGTTCACTTATATACTTAAAACGTTTATAGTACTTATCATTGTATTTATCATTATAATTAATGTACCTTAATCACTGTAGTGGTTATTCACATTTTCCATGATGTTTTGCTCTTGGTTCGGGTTTCGGTTGTTCATAAACTGTTATCAAATTTAGACACAGCTGTCAACCGTCTTTTGTACTATCGCATGTTGTAATTATTCTTTATGTTACTGTTACAGGAAGCCTTTTTATTTTCATGCTTGAACGACGCGTTTAAACGCTCCAGACACCTCACAAGTTGAGGTTTATAACTACATTTTGTGTATTATTCAATGAAGAAACGCTATTGTAGACAAATCGTTGTTTTGGAAACTGCGATTTTGCGCGTATCTCAATCGGCTGACTTGGACACTCCGATAGATTTAACATTGAGGAAGTTTTATTCGTTCCATTAAAAGTGGAATGATTATGAGTTACATCGTGAAACAACACTGGGAATCATTATACACCTACTTTTCTAATCATAGATATCAATAGGATAGTAATTCAAGTTCACAACATATATGGTTTGTCAGTAGGTAATTGATCGATGTACGTTATGTAATAATTGTGTTTTAATGGTAGTAACAATGAATGAGGTTACTAGTCAGAATGAGGTATTACTAGTTTGTATTCCATTCTCGTCCTCTGATTTTCGATTTTCCAAATTTTCTGTCTCCAAACATTCCACTTTCGATTAGTGATACATACTACCTTTAAATGTCGAAATTGAGTAGCGCACATCACACTAAAACTACCGACATCCGACTCGAGATGTGAAATTAGCTGACTAAGATACAGATGAAGACATTACTGTGTAGTGTACAATTCATTAAGAAATTCTTCTCAATGATCAGTGTTGAAAACGATGAGTCATGTTTAATCATATTAAAAACTATCTGCCTGGAATCCTGTATTTCAATAGTTTAAAACCTTCAAGTGCAAACGTATGTGATCTGGTCTATTGTTCAACCTAAACCAATGTACACACTGTCGGGAAGTCCGAACCATTGTTAGTAATTATCCTAAATGAGGTCAGCATGTAGATGATAACGGTATCAACACATCTGGATCGATTAAATTCAGTCATTAACATCAAAAATGACAATAAAACCTGTCACAATCAGTAGAACGAAACAGTTATTAGATCTTGATAAATGAATTCATGAGTCAATGTATGCTAGACCATATACATGAATCAGTTGCAAGGTGGTTATGATTAAAGTAGGCCATAAATAATAGCCTGAAAAGCGATTACGCAATGGTGAATTGGATAACAATATTGAATGTATTATTCGGAAGATCGTGTTGAATGAAGTCATTCTCTATATGTATCTATATAATCTGGGTGCGATACAGAGTGTTCCTAGGTGTGAATTCCGCGTACGAGTTCATGATGACCCATTGCTGAGTTATTGGGAAATTACAAATACATTCCTGCTTCCTATCCTTGCGCTTCAAAGGAGATGAAGTCGCTGGAATTATCAATCACAGAATTAATTCCGCTTTAAAAGTGACCTACTCGGCAGCCAAACGGACTACGTTATCGAAAACATACTGCTCACTGAAACAAACGAAAATCGACAAGTCCTCTCCCCTCAGTTGCTCCAACTGCATTTACCAATTCACATGTACGTGCCGTAGCACATAAATTGGAAGAACTGAGAGAAGAGTACAGGTTCGCATTTCTGAGCATATTCCGACGAACTTGACTCTGCGAGGGACTAAAGCCTTTAACAGTGCAATAGCTCGGCATCTACTTGACACCGGGCATACCGTCGATATTATATTATCAATAGACAAAGAACTACTACCACTCTCCGTTTTGCTGAAGCCATTGCAATTAAAAAACTGAAAACGGACTTATGCATCCAATAAGAGACTTTAAAAAACTTATCACTACCCTGGTAATCTTTTTGTTTCTGTTTGTTGGTTTTGTGTTTTGGTTATTTTATTCATTTACTTATTCTGAGATAATTTATATTCCCCCCCCCTATTACCTAATTCTTAAAATAAATTTTATGCACACATTTCCACCACCTGATCCTCTTAAATCATGTTAGAACTGTGTTAGAACTGTCCGAGTGAAACGAATTTAAAATAATACGAAGCGAATAATATAAATGTGACACTTCAACTCATCTGAAGTTCTCTTAGTTAATCAAACGATGTTTGTCTTTTTTTAATTCCTATTTATATAGAATAATTGAGCAGTATCCAATGATGTGTTTACTCAATCTTTACCGTAGAGTAAATACGACTTAGGTTTTGAGCAACTAGATATTAAGAGGACTAAGATGGAATATTATATGGTTGGAGCTAGTCTTTCTTAAGTCTACATGAAGTCTTAATAGCTAGATAGTTACGTAATGGATTATAAAAATGAATGACTTGGTTCCTTCTCACTCCCTTTCCACTCCTTTGTATATTGTGTTCTATTCTACTTATTTACATTCAGTAAGCACTTGTATGTCCAACAATGTTTACACTTGTGTTGTAACGCCAGTTGTTGTGTAATATTC